GATATCCATTAAGGATCTTTAATGTAGTGGTTTCCCCTTGCCTTCTACATCCTTACGCCGTTGACCTATTTTTTCGGTTCGTCCGCCTTTAGGGTCAGTTTCCCAACCCCAGGACAAAAGGGTGCCCTACCACTTACCAACTCATCCGCCCGAAGCCGTTGGTCAGTAAGTGGGGGATTGCTTATACCGGCAAACGTTCGGTAGAATTTTCGCCATATCTGGCTACCCTCACTTAGTTTAGCCTGCAGACCAATGCAGTTGCCCGGGGTGTGGCACGTGGAGCCATAAGTGAGAGTTAGTTGTCTTATGAGGACCAGTTATCAAGAACCATCTCCCGTCTATGACGCTCGATGTGGTCGTTCCGATAAAAGGTGCTACCTCTATAACACAACTCTACACCCCCAAGACACTGTAAAAGACACTTATGTAAAAGAATAAAATATGTTTTAAATATTTACATAATTGTCTTTTACACTTATGTAAAAGACAATTATGTAAATATTTAAAAAATATCACAATTCTTCAGTGTAACTTACTAGTCGTTGAGATTATTTTTGTAAGCATTGACACTCAACATTTATACCACACATTAAAATATACAATTATGGACATAATACATTATAAAATTTTTAAAATTTATTGTAAATAAATTTTATAATGTAAATTTTACAATAAATTTTAAAAATTTTATACACACGTATACACGTATTTGTTGCCCTGGAAACCATCAGGGTCTTCTAACTCTACTTAATGCCACAAATTGGTCGCATTGCTCCTGTAGTGATCCTTTCAGTTAACATGATCCTTTTCTAACTTGGCTGCACCGTATTGAAGACGACCAATAGTCAGAAATACGTGTATACGGTTGCCTTCCATCGATCTACCTTTTTTGTTTTGATTTTCTGTTTATCCTTTTCAATTTGTTTGAAACATTTCTACATTTGGAATTCCTTTCCCATATGCATATTTATATAAGCCAAGGAACATTCGACCAGTGTATACTACCAATCATGACATACGACTGCGCAACTTTAAAACTATAGAAAAAGATAATAGCGAAACTCAAAGAGAGAATCGCAAAAGGATAGAATGGATCAGACAGAAAACCCAGGTCACTGATGTAATCCACAGAATCAAATATCTAAAATGGCAGTAGGCGTGACATTAGCGAGAAGAACTATCAATAGATGGTCCACTAGAATAACATTGTGGTATCCAACAGACATTAAGGGCCTCGATGCACTAGGCAGCCACTCAAACCCCGACGGTCAGCCAAAAATCCCGGGCTGTGCCAGCCACTAGAATGTGCCTCTTGTACCTACAGCTCGTTGGCTGCCCGCAGTCAGTGAGGATTCTGAAGGAAAATGGGAAAATTAATATGGCTGCCTTCTGTCTTCGTACACTTCAAGTGTCAGCAAGACCTATCAGCAACGTTTTTAAAACGACTTTTGACACCGAAAAATTAATTCGGGAAGTTTAAAGCCGTTTTGGAATAAGGAAAAGCCATTTGGGGTATATCTTCTGAAGATTACAACGATCGAGAAGGGAAAATCGTAAACAAATTACACCAATATAATTTGTGAGGACGATTTACCAACTTTTCTTTATTTTGCGTTTTTTACAAGTCAAACGGTAAATAATTATGGCCTCCTTCACATCCAAATCGCCTTATATTTATATTTGCTCCATATTAAAGCTAGGATAGAAATAGCAAGAAATGTGTTTGTAAAAATGAAAACAATTTTCTGCAACAAAGATCTTAGATTAGAGCTGAGAGTAAGAGCACTGAGATGCTACGTGTTTTCGATACTGCAATATGGACTTGAAAGCTGGACATTAAAGCAAGAACACATAAATAAGTTACAGTCCTTTGAAATGTGGTGTTACAGGAGGATGCTTAGCTTAGAATAGCATGGACACAGAAGAAAACTAACACGGAAGTATTGCGAGAAATGGGCAAAGAATGCGAAATAATAAACACAATAAAAATAAGAAAGTTACAATATCTGGGACACGTAATGAGGGGACAGCGATATGAACTGCTAAGGCTAATAATACAGGGAAATATAAGAAGAGGAAGGAGTATAGGAAGAAGGAGAGTGTCATGGTTGAATAATTTAAGGGACTGGTTTAAATGCAGTTCTATAGAACTCTTTAGAACAGCAGTAGATAAAGTAAAGATAGTGATGATGATATCCAACCTCCGATTGGGAGACGGCACTTAAAGAAGAAGAAAGAACGGACACAACTGGCTGTCGATTGGATAACTGGCTGCTCATTTATGTCGACTGCCTAGTCGCGGGAGCTCTAAGAAACCAACAAGATAAAGACAAAAGATCAAAGAAAAACAAGCAGGTACAACATAGCACCAGAGAAGCGAATGTAAGGCTGTACCGTAATTCTGAGAATAATGATAGACATACATGAAGATATTCTACAAAAATTCTGAAGCCCTAAATATATAAAATAACACAAATTCTAATATTGAGATACTGGTATAAGACGCATACAACAGCGATAAGAAACATAAATTGTTTGTATTAGAGTGAAGATTAGAATTAGAAAGTTTGAAAATTTCAAAAATATTTACTAGTAGGATTTTAAATCGGTAAATTATATTTAAACATCTACTTTTAGTTTGTAATTCAAGTGGATAACGATTACAACTATCTTTTTTGTTCAAAATGTTTTTAGAAGAAAAAAGTACAAAAAAGATTCTAAATGACCATCAACAATGATAATAAATCAGGTAGGTATATATCTAACAAAAAAAAAACCAAATTTTTATAACTAGTTTTATTAAAAAAAATAAGAAAATGTAAATAATATTTGGATGAAATCAGTCTTACACATATTTTACAATTTTACATGACCGGCAATATTCTATATGGCAAAATTACATCTTACTTTTACTTAAAGAATATTGGAAATATCGAAGTAAAACAAACAAAAAAAACATTTATAAAATGAACATAACAAGATCAAGTTCAAAATAATGCGAATAAATGAAACACTTAACACGAAACAAAATAGTTAATTTTTTATTTTTTCTCAATAGCTTCCTTTTCTCCTTCTACTGCTTTCGCTGGCTTTCCAGTTTGTTCCACAGTAATACTTTTGTGCGGTAAGGATCCATTGTCAACTTTGGGAGCAATAATTGAAAGGACACCATCGGAAGACAGCTTTGACTCGATTTTACTCATATCATAATTTTTGGGCAAAACATATCTTCTGACGAAGTGTCTATAAATATGACCGTGATCGTCTTCTTTTTCTTCGTGTTTTCCTTCGATGGTAACTTCCCGGTCTCCCGTTACTTTCACAGAAATTTCTTCGGGTTTAAACTGCTGGACGTCTAGGTTGGCTGAGAACTGGTCTTTACCGTAATTTACTGTAGATCCAGAATCGTTTCCGGAGGCTGCAGACCGCCAGTTCCTCATATAACCAGCAGGGCATCTGAGGAAATGTCTGGACACGGGTTGAAACAGATCTTCAGGTTCCAAAACCATTCCAAAATGTTGATCAAAAAGCCTTGATGGTCTGCTGTGGGATACATCACCAAACAAATATGGTAGAAGAGACATCTTTTTTACACTTTACTATTCAACTTTTTTAATAAAAATTCACTTCGCTACCTTCACGTAGGTACTTTCTTCACTAAAATTTCTTTCTGAGATTTGAACTGATTCTAATTCTCCGCGCCAGTGGAGTAGCTTTTATACCCGTATACAGTGTTACTAGAATATTCCTGAACACTCGAGAAACTTCGTTCAGTATTTGTTCGTAATCGTAATAGTGTTCGCAACCGGTGCTGGCTACTAATCTGCTGCACCGGACGGCAAGAAATATATAAAAGCAAAGTATTAAAAAAAATTGATACTCATCTTTAATTTAACCATCTATTAATAGGTACATGTAAAGTTCTCAATAGACAGCACTTTCTAGAAATATAAAATTTTTATCTACCTACTCTATTTCATACGAGAGTATTATATTTGGTCCATAGCTATTACTAATAATGAATGTTGACTTTAAAATTTCCTAAACACATATTCAAAACTGTTTATGTAGTCTAAATCCTGCTGTTTCTGTCACTTTAAAGTTTTTTCTAATTTATATTTTGTAATTACTATACAATGAAAGTTAATCACAGCTGTAGAATTGCAACTACTTCAATCTCCATCTAAAGAAAAAATTCGGCCGACTTGGAGGCCAAAACGCCAAACACAGTAGTCTCAATTTTGCTAATGTATGTTTAATCTCCACTTTATAGTAACTAAAAATATCGTTATAAAAATATATTAAGTAAGTATATAATAGCTAAATACAATTGTGGATGGTGTATTCTGTGCTTATTCTATGTATTATAGCGTAGAAATGATGATTTAAGAATCCTGAAATACTAACAAAAGGATATCTACATTTCTGGAATATGTGATAAAATAGTAATTTAATAGTAGCTGAATGCTCAATGTATAAAAATGTTGGGTAATCTTTAACAGTAGATATAAGTATCGTCTGTGTTAATATTAAAAAAATATTTTAAAAACTAGTTTTCATTAGGGTAACTTAAAAAAAAAAAGAAAATACTGAAAACCACTTAAATCCATTTTAATATATCAAATATATCAAAAATATATATCAAATATATATCAAAACTAATAAATTCAGAAATATTGGTTAATATGTATACTTAGCATGAATAAATTAGGTACCTAAAATATAATCGTATGTATTATTTTTCGAAAAAACCTTTTTATTATGTATTTTTTAAGTAATTATTCGACTTTTATTAACACGAAATAATTAAAATAGTACATCTCATATCAATTTTATTGTATAAAAAAATGAGTTGTTATATCTAATATCCTTTGATATAGGCCACTCACAATTCATAATATTCGATTAATCGTTGCATTTCATCATTGTTCTCGAAAATGCCAACAGATGATTCTCGAATACCGTTAAATAGGTTAACCAATCAGCACGAGTCCCAACCCAAACAATTGATATTCTAGTAAATTCGTGACATTTCTAACTTCAAAACAAGTTTGTATAAATACCGGACCGGTGATCTGAGTTAAGAGTTAGTAAACTAGTAACAAGAGTGTTGAAAACTTGTTTAAATCAAAGAATTTAGTGTTATTAAATTATTTTAAAGTCTAGAATTAACCAAAATGGCATTTATTCCTATCGTGTGTCGTGAAAACCATTGGGCTCATCCTTGCCCTCGTCGTCAAGTTGCAGTGCCTAATGGAAAATTTGTTGAAGATATCACCCAGGACGTCCTGAATTCCATTGCCTTAGCCCAGGCGTTATTTGGCCCAGAACAAGATAGAGTAGACACAGAGGTAATGAGACAGAATTCTAAAAAACTCAATCGACCCAGATCATCTGTTACAATTGATGAACATAAATTCCATGCCAATTTCGATGTACAGCATTTCAAACCTGACGAAATTACTGTAAAGGTAAATGGTGACAGGTCCATTACTATTGAAGCCGAACATGAAGAGAAACAAGATGATCATGGTGCAATTTACAGGCATTTTGTTAGAAAGTATAAGTTGCCAGACAATTGCGATATAGAAAAGGTAGATTCCAAATTGTCATCAGATGGTGTCTTAAGTATTACAGCTCCTACCATTGGACAGAAATCTTCCAGTCATAGAACCATTCCTATTATTCAAACTGGGAAGCCAATTAAGTCATCAGAACAATCACAGGTTCAACAGAAATCAGATTGAAAAGTAGGTTAATATTATTTAAAATATATTACTTACAGTAAATGTTCTTTAATTTCAAGACTGATTTTTTTTGAATGTATATTAATTAAATTTTTTGTACTGTAGCATATTTTTTATTTAATTAAATAAATTTATGAATTAATACCATTTTTATTTTTCTTTTTTCCTTTCCAATATTATATATGTAATTTTAAGTTATATGCTATTATATATTATAAATTCTGTTAATAATGTTAGTTAATAATTTGTGTGAACATGAACTCCTAAAAATGAATCGACAAAGCATGTTTAATTAAATTCAATATAAATAAAAATTAAGAATTGTCAAGTAAGTATATAATAATTTTGAACTGGTAGGATGGAATAAAGTTTGATCAAAGGTATAAGGAAATTTCCAAAGATACTGGTATAGAATCTCTTTTAAAGACCATTAAAACTTTTTAACAAAATCTTTATTTATGATGACAAACTGTGTTTGTAAGTCACTTAGCTTCTTTGTCAGCATATCTTAAGCAAATTTTTTTTCAAAAAAGTTTGGCTAGGAGTTCAGGAAGTGAAGTACCACCAGGTTTTATAATTATATCTCGTAAATCAGAACTATGTGGTCTATCATAGTGGCATTCAATGTGCGGTTACTCTCAAGGTTTTTAATACATTTCCCTGTGCTACATCGTCTTTGTATTTTTTTATTGAAGTGTAATTGAGCATTGATCTTCCCCAGACAATTTCAACAGTCAATTCTGTTTATCTTCTACCATTGCCTGTTTACTATGTCAATCTTTTTTGCTTTTTTTTTGTTCACACCATCCCTCCATCTCAGTCTTACCTATTTACCCCTACTTCTATTTCCTACTGATGCCGCTAATAGGGTTTGTCTGGGTGGGTAATTTTCATTTGATCTTGACACATTGTCCAGTCTATCTAAGCTTGCATATTTCATTATACTTCTTGTACATCCTGAAATTATATCAGTTTCTACAAATACCATTCCTACAGATTGCACCCATTACTCTTCTTAGTATCTTCCTTTTTAAGAGGAGCAGATGGAGATGGTACATGTTTCAGACCCATATGTCGGGGATTAAATTTCTATTTTTTTAGCTGCTTGTTTAACCTCAAATAACATTTGTTTGCTAGCAGTATCCTTTGTTTTACTTATCCAGATGTGAAATATGTATCTAACTTGTACTTGTTTTTCTATGTATTATGTTACATAATGATATCAGGTTTATTTGTTACTTCCAATGCATCATTTAGAGCAATACTACAACCAAATTTGCATAAGAACTTGTCTAAGGTAGTGGCATTTTCATTATGTTTGTATAAAGAAGATGATACTGCTCATTTTCTATTTTTCTTGAACTCTGGAGACATTTGGTTTTAGTAGGTGCATAACTACAATTGTCAAACTTCACTTTTAGTATGTTGAAATAGTTTTACAGATATAAAATTAGTTTATACTGGTTATAAATCAATATAAACTAATTATAAAGCAATATAAAAACAAACCACCAATAGAGGAAAACAAATTAAACATAGAACAACTATATGATGTCTTAGAATAGAACAAAAATAGAACAACAAAAATGATCAAAAGACATTACAAACAGCAGCATACAGAAGTTCAAATAAGAAAAAGTATATAGGTGCCTACTGTGCTTGAAAAAATAAATAAAATTGAAATATCAAGAAAAAAAGGGACTCTTCTTGGAATATGCATAGATAAGAACATGAGAAACCTATTAAAAGTACAAGAGAGTTCATATTGAAAAAGTAAGAAAGAGGAAAACAGAACAGTGGTAAAAATCTCTATAGTAATGGATCATTACTTACAGATTGCAAAAAGAGACATGGAGGTTCATAAGAGGGCAAATAATGGAAATGAGTTAAATTCTGCATGAAGAACTAAACATAAGGAGAGTTTGTGCTAGTCTTCTAACATCAGAACATAAGATGCATGGTAAAGATATTTGTTCTGATACTCTGGAATGTACCTATTACTTAAGAAGACTTCTTCTTGAAATCATAACTTTAATGAAACTCCTAGTTGAACAATGAAACAATATGCTTTACGAACATTCCGAGAAGATTCGAAAAAAATAGACCTGATGTGAGAAAACTCCTTAAACTTTATTTAGACAATAATCAGTTTACAGTCATGGTGTACCCACCTTATTCGCCCAGATTTAGCACCCTGCAACTTCTACCTGTTACCAAAAATAAAATACTTCTTGAAAGGAACATAAAACAAGTTATTAGAGAACGTGAAACAAAAATTGGTGCACTTACTCAACAGCCTTTCGTAAGATAACCTGCAGTAAAAATGAAAAATTATAAAAAATTGCCAAATAAAGATTTTTTACTAACAATCTTGGAATTTAATTGCCGGATCTCGTATGCTGATGAAACTAAACAAAAAGAAAAATATCAGGATATTCAAGGAATTTTCAGTTCTCAAAATCTCTTAGTATTTTCAAGGGAGGAATATTTCACATGGAAAGAGATTTGAACATCATCTTTAAAACACATTAATAAACAACTCGTATACTTGAATTTTTGAAGTTGCCTGTACCTATTAAAGATAAAATGGTTATGGTTTTCCATAAAGGAAACATTTATTAAGTAATAGGTACAAAGTAATTTAAAAACATGTGGAGAGAAGAAAAAAAGTAGAAATCATAGGAAAAATAAACATTTCACGCGTTGTAATTTGCCTTATAATTATGTGCAGCCTACAGTCGGAAGTTCTACATCTTGGTCCAGTTATTTTTAGTCTTAGTGAAGACATAGGCGGATCCTAGGGAGGGAGGGCAATGGTCCCCCTTTTAAACCAAATGATTTAATTTTTTTTAAACTCAGCTTAACCTGTAACCGGTGACGTCCGATTTTAGGAACATAACCGGTGACGTGAAGTCTCCGGGACTCATCATAAATATGCTGGTTTCATTCAAATTTAAACAATTATTTTATCACATTGTTTATAATGATCTGTTCTTTGGGCATTTCTTTCAATATCCTATTGCCTTTTTCGTTCTTTCTGTTACTAACTATTCTTATTATTAACATTTTTGTCAAAAGTTGCAAATAAATAAAGTATGGTGTTACGTCGCAAAACTTATTTTTTTTAATATTTATATATTTAGTAGGTACAAATGGTTTAAATATTAGGTATAACAAATATTGAATAATCTATGGAAATAAAAATTATCATCAGTAGTCTAAACGTAACGGAATGCGCAGAGGGTAAATAAGGACAAAAAAAGAGGATTTTTTTTTATTCTTTTTTAACGTTACAGTTTCTGCATATTTTATGAGAACAAGTCAAGCAAATGGGGACGCATAAATAAGATGTCTTCCTATGAAGTTTTGATGGGCAAATGTAGCAATATTTTTGAACTGCTAACCGATCTTGTTGAATGGAAGGAGATTCAACCACGCACAGTATTCGCTTTATATTTTCTCTTATTTCTGTCGGGATTCTGCTGTTATACATTCGTCGTTTCATGTGTGCTTCAATCAAGCTTTTAGCCAGTACCTTCATAAAATCTTTCCTGTCTAAGGGATTGGATTCTCTATAACACTGATACATAAAGAAAGCGTTAATGTACTCATATCTAGTATTTTGTAAAATATAGCCATTGGCCAACGTTGCTTTCTTCTGGACCAACTGTAAACCGTACATTTTTCATCCAATATATTATTTTCATCATCACTGGACGAGTCTTGGTTTAAAGTTTCTGGAGTATTGTCTTCTGAATCAGATTCACTATCAGACTGCTCAGATGCCGACTCATGACTGCTTTCTATTACCGCATCACTGTCAATATCATCAATATCACCATATTCAGAGTCCAAATCATTGAACTAATGTAACAATTTCTCTTTAAATTTCGGATCTGTAACACTAACCGATCGTGACGTACTTGGTTAATGATCTATTATAGTTTATACGAAGAAATATAAAACGCTCGATAAAAAGTAACTAACGGTGACGTTGAGTCTCGCTGACTCCATATAACGTCTGTTCTCGTAAACTAATCAAACAAAAACGCTTGGTTTATGAACTATTTTTACAAAGGTACTTAGCTGCAGGCCATCCAGAGTCGTCCTCTTCAATATTTTAAAACGGTTTTTAATTTCGCAAGAGTCGCTCAGACTTCACGTCACCGGTTACGGGTTAAGTTATATTAGAAACTTAAAAAAGCAACCTTAGATGTTAAGTATTGCGTAGGCTTGACTACAGATGGCTATTCCGTAATAATTTTTGGTGCAGTAATTACCTTCAAAAATGTAGTAAGTAAAGAAGTAATTTCTTTTTTTAAAGCTTCGTCAAAACGCAAGGAGTCTATCTACGAAATTGCATATTCATGTAATTACTACATCTTTGCCAAACTTTAATAATGCTTTGAATATTGTTGAAACCTATTGTTGCAGGGTTTCGAGATGGTAAATGGTTTTCACGTATTGTTCTACCGAAACATTAGTAATACATATTTCACACTCCTCGTGCCACAATATTGAATATTATACAATAATATCTCAATGCGTGTTAAAAGAGAAACAATTTTCGCATCATGTGGTAAACAGTATTAAAAATTTCACAGCCTATGTACAAAAACTAGTATGAAGATTAAAAATAAATAAACATTTTAATGAAAAATATCGGTAGCTAGTGATTACCTTATCGAAATAGAGTAGCCTCTTGTAGAACTCCGAGAAATTAAAAGCTCCTTGTCTAACCAGTTCCTTCATATTTGATCTTAACTTATTCCACATATGCATTAAGACGTAAAAGTCCCTTTTAAACATACACGGTTCCAAACTTGGGTCTTTAAGTAAATCTTCTACTCCATACTTATCTCTGATATAGCGATGACCGAAAGAATGGTTCTTTGGAACACAATCAATGTTGTGGTTTCTAAAAATTTGAAATTTTTAAGGAGTATAAATGGTATCTGTACATATAAATATGAACAAAGAAGTCACTCCCCAATGATTGGAATATTGGAATACTTTGCACCGTACACAAAAAAGAGATATATTTAAACGCTCTAACCACAGGGGATTACGCTTCTAAATGCAGCATATAGTATATTTTCCACAGTACTATGTTATCGTATGTCACCATATGCAGAACGGATAGTAGTAAAATATCAGGCTGGTTTCAGAAATGGTAAATCGACAATTCATCAGGTTGCAATCCTGAGACAAATTATAAAAAAACACTGGAATGTGGCATAGATACTCATCATATATTTATAGACTACAAAGCAGCCTACGACTCTGTGAATAGAAGGGAAATGTTCAAAGCAATGAAAGAGCTAGGTAAGACCAAATCAGTTTTTAAATTTAACAAAACTAACTCTTGAAAATGTTGAATGTAGAGTACGAATTCAGGGGGAACTATATGAACCTTTTTAAACAAATAACGGGCTACGTCAGGGAGACCCTCTCTCTGGTATACTGTTTAATCTGGCTCTGAAAAAAGTATTACGTATGTCAAAAATCACAACCATCTGTTCAATATATAATCAATCAGTGCAAATTCTTGCCTATGCTGATGATATCAATATTTTTGGGAGAACGGAAAACGCTGTAGGAGAGGCGTATGTAGCATTAAAAGAATTAGCTACAAAAATGGGTTTAACAAAATGAAGTATATGAAAATAAGCACGCAACCACAAACACTACGACTACTTATATAAAACGACGCCAATGGAAGCAGTGAACGAATTTGTACACCTGAGAGCGCCCCTTAACACTTAAAATAATACTACCGTAGAGATAAACCGCTGAATTTGTACGGCCAGCAGATGCTATTTTGGGCTCAATCTCCTTAAATCCACAACTATATCGAGAAATACAAAAATAAAACTGTACAAAACAATATTACGCCCAGTCTTAGGATCCAGATATCCTAAAACATATTAAGGTAGGACGTCTGACGTAGATAGGGCATATAATACGCATGGAACAAAATAACCCAGCTAGAAAAACGCTCCATTGGTCAGAAAAAGAGGAAGACCCAGAACAAGGTTCCTGATAGCATCGATAAAGACATGAGAAATACGGGAATACGTGGTTGGCGGAGGAAGGCGATGGATAGGGACTAAGGCTAGGCCCTAGGGTTGTAAAGCCAGAATGATGATGATGATGATGATGATAAGTGGTATCTGTTTAGCCAGGTAAATACAAGACAGATAAATAATACTAAAAACATATTTATAAAAAGGAAATTATATATTGTTTAAAAATTACGACGCGTTTAATATTAATGTCTTCAATTAACGAACTGCAGTATATCATGTCATTTGTCTTTAAAACCTGTGTGGGTACTATGCCTCCCCAAGGATTCTCTTCCAGTCGTTCTTATACCATCGCCTTCCTCGCCAAGCAGTATTTCCATATTTCTCATATCTTGGTCTAATGAGTATTTAGATTGTTTAAAAACTTGTGTACATAATTAAAGTGTGTCATAGTATTTGTCAGTCCTTTACTAATTGACATTTGACTGAGAAGTTGACTTAACGTGATTATTTGTAACGCGACCAAAAAGCTTCCACGTTTCAATTTATTTCTCTGCAGTTCTTTCTCATGATATCATTTTAATGACCACTTTGCTAGTATACTACAGAAAGTAATATACGAATCAGCAAAAGAATCCTGCGAGAATTGAAAAAATAATGAAAAACCACAAACGAACCAGATGGTGGACAAATCGAATAAAAGCGGCTATTACTGATAAAAAAGAAGCAAGGACAAGATACGTGTAAACAAAGGGATAAATAAATATATAATGTTACGCCAGCCCTTGACCTGTTATCGAACATAATTCCAGCGTCTGACTACCTTTGATCCACCAATCTCGATACTGCCGCAACTGCGACTCAATTGTTATTCGCGTATATTTCATCACATCGTGAAGTTTCTATTGAAATCAGGAGCATCCAAGCGAGACGCCAAGAGATCTCTGGATCTTCTTCTTCACGTGCCATCTACCTCTAAGAAGGTGGCAACCATCATGGCAATTCGCACTTTCGACGCCGCTGCTCTAAAGAGGTCAGCAGAAGTGCAGTTAAACCAAGCTCTCAAATTATTCAACGAGGAGATGCGTCTTCTTCCGCGACTCCTTCTACCCTGTATTCTTCCTTGCATTATTAATTGCAACAAGTTATAATGCTCGCCCCTCATAACATGTCCCAGATATTGCAGTTTTCTGACTTTAACTGTATTTAAGACCTCTTTATCTTTACCCATTCTTCTCAACACCTCGATATTCGTGACTCTATCTACCCAACTTATTCTTAATATCCTTCTGTAGGCCCATAACTCGAAGGCTTCCAATCTGTCCGAAACATCTTTCTTTAAAGTCCAAGCTCCAACCATAAAATAATACGAGAACACGTAGCATCTCAGAAGTCTTATCTTTAAAGAAATTGAAATGTCCCTGCTGCAGAGTACTTTTTTTAGTTTATTGGAACGGTCTGAACAGGTTAATAAAACGGGAAAGGCTGCAGGTGTGGATGATATATGCAGTGAACAAATAAAGCATTTAGGCCAAGGAGCAAAAAACTGGATCTTGCAATTTTATAACACGTGCTGCAAAACCTGCAAAATTCCAAAATCATGGAGGAAATCTAAAGTAATAGCCTTGTTAAAACCAGGAAAGGATCCAGAAGACCCCAGTAGCTACAGACCTATTTCGCTATTGTGTCACTTTTTTAAACTATACGAGAGACTCATACTCGCCAGAATAGAAAAAAATGTCGACAAGCACCTCATCCCACAACAAGGAGGATTCAGACCTGGCAAATCTTGCACCGGTCAAGTCCTCGCATTAACAGAACACATTGAAGAGGGCTTTGAAGAAAAACTTATAACAGGGGCTGCTTTTGTAGATCTGACAGCAGCCTATGACACAGTAAGGCACAAAACATTGCTCCGCAAATTATACGATACTCTCAATGACCACCATCTGGGAAAGGTCGTATATTCCTTACTGCAAAATAGACGTTTTTTCGTTATGCTGGAGGGTAAAGTAAGTAGGTGGAGAGTTCAAAAAAACGGCCTCCCACAGGGAAGTGTTTTAGCACCAATGCTCTTCAATATATACACAAACGACCAACCTACTCCGACCGAAACCAAGCACTTCCTCTATGCTGACGATCTTGCAATATGTGCTCAAGGAAATAGTTTTGAAGAAGTGGAGGAGAAACTCGAAACTGCCTTAAAAACAATGACAGCGTACTACCTGCAGAATTCTCTGAGACCCAATCCCTCTAAAACCCAAGTCTGCGCTTTCCACCTTCGCACAAAGGAAGCCAAGCGAAAACTCCAAATTGTGTGGAATGGTAATACATTAGAACACACAAACCAACCTATATATCTTGGAGTAACTCTGGACCGGTCCCTCACCTACAGACAACATTGCATAAAAACAAGAGGGAAAGTAACAACTAGGAACAGCATACTCAGAAAGCTAACGGGAAGTAAATGGGGCGCACGTCCTGGCGTTTTAAGAACAACGGCACAGGCACTGTGTTTCTCAACTGCTGAATATGCATGCCCCGTTTGGAGCAGATCTGCCCACACCAAACAAGTTGATACTGCGCTAAATGAGACATGCAGGATAGTAACGGGGTGCATGAAACCAACGCCACTTTCAAATCTATATAGAGCAGCGGGTTTTGCAGAACCCTCAACACGCAGAGGCGCTGCAGAACACATAGAGAAAATTAAACAGATCGCGGACGATCGGCATGCCCTATACAAAGCTCGAACACCACGAAAGCGACTAAAATCTAGGAAAAGCTTCCTTGGAACAGTGAAGGATGAACCGCCTGAGTATTTTCCACTTCCCCAGGTTCAATGGACCGGCCAGACCCTAGACTTTAAAACGTGGAAAACCTTGAATAGGATAAGAACGGGGGTTGCTACAGTAAAATCAAACATGGCAAAATGGGGAAAAATAAACCAAGATGATGTGAACTGTGACTGTGGAGAAACACAGAATATGGAACATCTTCTTACATGCAGAAACTGTCCTCATCGATGTACCCTTGAAGATTTGTGGCTCGCCAACAAAGATGGAACCGACGTAGCCCGATACTGGGCCGAAATTTTATGAATGACATGTCCGGGACACGATAAGTAAAGTAAGTTTTAGTTTATTGAAAAAATTTCTATGGCTTGTTCCTATCTTTTCTTCGCCCTTTAATCTCTCTTCTTGTGTACGCAATTATTTTTCATTAATTATTGTACCCAGATATTTATATTTTTCAACTTTTTTAATTTGTACTCCATGTATTGTTATGCTTTCTTGGCGATGTTGGGCTTTTGTAATTACCATAAATTGTGTCTTTTTTGTGTTTAGGGACAGTCCGTTTTCTTCATTGACTTCTACCACTCTGTCAACTATTTGTTGTAAATCCTCAAGACATTCCGCTAATAAAATAGTGTCGTCGGCAAACCGTATATTATTGATTGGTCGGCCATTTACTTTTATTCCCATAGTTAGTTATTCTAGTGCTTTCTGGATTATTTCCTCTGAATACAAATTAAAGAAAGTAGGAGACAGTTATTTAGAGCTGCTGTCAATAAAGTCACGATAGCGAATATGGTAGCCAACATGATATCCAACGATCGACAACGGTCATGGAACTAGAAGAAGAAGGTGACAGGACACAGCCCTGCCTGACGCCCCTCTCAATCTGCATTTCATTTGAAAATACGTTATTCTCTTTTACCACAGCGATCTGATTATAATAGATAGCGCTAATGATTCTGATGTCTCTCATATCTAAGTTTTTCTTTTCAAGTACTTAATTCGATAAAACCGTTATGTCTGACCTTATCGAAGGCTTTGTTGTAATCCAAGAAACACATATATACTGGTTGATTAACATCCATGCACCTTTGCACAAGTACATTCACAGCGAACAGGGCTTCCCTCGTTCCCAGTGAACTATGCATCCGGAGATCCCAGATCGCTGGATGCATAGTCGCAAAATATAGAAGAGCGATTACTAAAGATGAATTTGTATTGTTAAGTAATAAATATATATATATATATATATATAAATATATATATATATATATATATAATATATAAATATATATATATATATATATATACATATATATATATATATATATATATATATATATATATATATATATATATATATATATATATATATATATATATATATATATATATATGTAGGCAGCTAGATGAAACAATTCCTCGACCTGTTAGATATGTGTGCTGTACACGGAATTCTGAGCATGCGAAGGTAACACTAGGACTCAAACGCTTCTAATTTATTAAGATTTTTTATTTTTGTTATTAAGGTTTCACATCCATCGAACAAAGCGGACCAGACGTAGCACTTCAATACTCTTGTGGACAAGTACAGACTTCTACTGTACAATACAGAACGTCAGTTAATAAAGCTTTTCACTTTCAATCCTGCAGTCTGCAGTCAATCTAACTACCCAGATATCTAAAGTGCTTCACCCTTTCTAGGACTAGGATCCCTTTCTAGGATTTTATTATCTAATTTTAATAGTGAGTCTTCGATATTAAGTTTTCCGACCACTATCCATTTTATTTTCTTTGCGTTGATTGTTAAGCCCTTTTTCAGTGCATTCATTGTTTACAGGCGTTCAACAATGTTTGTAGGTCTTCTAGACTCTCTGCCATTATGCCGGCGTTATCTGCGTAGCTGTTGTTATTAATAATTTTATTACCGATTTTAATACCTTCACGACGATTATTTAACGAAATCTCAAAAACTGGTTCAGTGTAGGCATAAAAAACAACATCGGTGACATACCACATTCCTGTGTGACACCACGCTTAAAATAGTAACTTTAGCTGAAACCTCTTAATCTACCTTAATAGGAGTCCAAGGATTAAAATAATAGTGTATGTTTTATTGTATCATAGGCTTTTTCAAAATCTATAAAACACACGTAAATATTTTTTCTAAATTCAATGCTCTTTTGTAAGAGTATTCGCATGCAAAAAAGAGCCTCCCGAGTACCCATACCGTTTCGGAAACCAAACTGCTCATAACCAGGTATCCGCTCACAAAGTTTAAATATGCGAGAATGGAATACTTAAAAAAATTAAGCGTGTGTCTGGTGTGACTGTCTGGCATTCCTTTTCTTGGGAATAGTTAATGATATTGATTTTAACCAGTTGCCTGGTAATTTACCGCTCTATCTTGTTAAAGAAGAAGGTGATAATCGCAATGCACTCACTATCTAATAGTTGCAACAATTTTGCAAGTATTTTGTCAGGACCAGAAGCTTTCCTTCATTTCGCTTGGTCAATGGCCTTCTGAACTTGAGATTAGAATCAGTGGGCCAGTATTTTGGTTAGATGGTACTTCTTGGTAAATTTTTTTGCTATATTTAAATAATTCTATTGTGTATTTTCCCATTCTATAAAGCGCTCTTTAATATCACTTAAAATTCTACCACCAGAGTCTTTATAATATATAAGTTATAACATCAAATTTACTAAGATGTAAATTGGAGCTGGAAGGTCAGATAATAGAACAAGTGATGGAGTTTAAATATCTAGACATCACATTATCTAGCTACGGAAAGCTCGAAACTAAAGTGGAAGCTCAAGTGAATAGAGCAAACAGAGCCGCAGGTTGTCTGAATGAAACAATATGGAGAAGTAAAAATATCGGGAAAGAAATAAAAGGCAGAATGTACAAAACATGTAGTCATACCAATAATCACATACGCGGCAGAAACACAACCTGACACAGAGAGGACAAAAAGGATGTTAGAAATAGCAGAGATGAAAACACTTCGAAAGATTGATGGTAAAACACTATGGGACAGATCTAAGAGTTAGAAGTACAGATATACGACGTAGATGCAAGGTGGAGAACATCAAGAACTGGGTAAGAAATAGAAGAGTAGAATGGAACGATCATATAAGCCGAATAACAACAAATAGAGTAGTAAAGACGGCAAGAGACGGTTCCCCAATAGGAAGACGATCAGTAAGAAGACCACGAAAACTATGGAACGACAACTTACAGGAGGCACATTGAAAACAGAAAGAGTCATGTCTACATAAAAAGAAAAAGTAGAAGAAGAAGAGTAGTCTTGTAATATATTTTTCCTGAAAAATTTTGCTTTTGCTGTTAATTCTTTTAATTTTTCATGCAAATGGAAACTGTAGTGTCGTTACTCCAGTTTCTCAATTTTTAAATAGGATTCTTGTAGGTAAATGCATTAAACGTATACAAATTAAATACTGTAAATTGAAAATAGGTCCAAACATTCTCCAGATATTTAGACTTTTCTTTCAAGCAAGCTCTTAAAAAGATATGTCATTTAAGCAAAACACATGCCTAAAATATCTACTTAGACGCGTTGGAAGGACATAAACAGAAATTGTTCAGCGTCGGAGTCTTTTGTGCAAACCAAACAGAAGGTGAAGTGTATTAATAGAGAGAAGACGTACATATAATGAAATTTGCACAGATAAAATAAGATATAGATATAATACGATATTTATCATTAGTTTTGCTTACGGAGTAAGAGGTTTTCCAACAACTGGTTTGACTCTTTCTAAATGATCAGCTTGTATTTTATTAACTGAAGTAATTGGTTTTTGAATATGCCATTGGCAGCAACATTTTACCCAAATTCCTCGATAGTCGTACATGGTAGTTTTTCCGAAGCATGCTTTTTCATCAAACGGCGGTGACATGTAACTGAAAATAATTTATCAGTATAATGAATTCGAATATTAATATAACTAATATGTTTCAATTTATTTTCAATTCTGCAAAAAATATTGAAGAATTATTTGTCAATGTAAATATATTGTATTGATGTTTGTATATTGAACATACGAACATCAGCCTTGGAAAGATTAAACTCTTGAGAGATAAAAAAATTGGTCTTAGAGGGTGCTTCTCAACAATACAATAATTTTAAGCTAAATACTTTAAAATAGCTAATGATTTGTCTAAATTGTCATTATAAATGGTGAACGAGTATACATTATCCATGGGGGTATATTAAATAAAACTCTCTAGAAGGTAGGGAGCCACCGGCTGGATTGGACTGGCTATATGGAAGATCAGGAAAATTTCCGAAGTTAGTGTAAAAGTTAATTACAATTTATAGATATAAAATTTTTAAACGTTTTAGTGAAAATTTTCACTGAAGCAACTACTTACTAATTTTTATTTCAATTGTAACGTTCTCATATTTTTAGTCATAACTTCCTTTGGGGATGGGAGTTGAGAACTAGAATTAAGAGGCTTCGTTTTGCATTTAACTATTGGTCTTTATGTAGCTACTCAAAATCATATGAAACTTGACGAAACCCCCTTAAAAGTTAATTAATGATGTGGCAACAAGGTGGAACTCGACATACTGTACATATGTTTGAGACACTAGTTAGTTACATTATCGGAACCTTTGGCGGTAACAGTTAGTCTTTTGCTCAATCCTATTAATCTTTCAATTGAAGAAAAATGGACGATATCAAAAGAACTTAGCCATATTTTAAAATCTTTTAAAGCAGTTACTGTTGAAATGAGCGCAGAAAAGCTAGCAACCCTCTCTAAATTTATTCTTCTTCTTCAGCCTTAAATAATCCAACTTTGGACATATGCCTCCCCCAAATCAGTTCAATGTTATCTATTTTGCGCCACTTACTTCCAGTTGTGTCCTTCGATCTTCTTAATGTCATCAGCCCATCTCATTTGCGGTCTTCCTCTGCTTCTCCTTTCTAACCACGGTCTCCATTGTTGTACTTCGTAGTTCCATCTTTTATCCTTTAGTCGGGCATTCTGTCCTGCGAAGCTCCATTTTAATTTGGCAGCATGTTCTCCTTCGTCTTTTACTTTGATTGTGCTTATAATCCATTTATTTGTTTATTTGTCTGTAAGTGTCACCCTGAGCATTGATCTTTCCATCGCTCTTTGTGTTTTTACTATTTTATCCATATTAGACTTGGTGAGTGTCCACGTCTGTGAACCATATGTGAGTATAGGGAGGATACACTGATCGTAAATTCTGGTTTTCAAATACTGTTCTATTCTAGTGCTTTTCAAGATCCAACTCAGTTTTCCAAAGTATGCCCATGCTAACCTTATTGTTCTGGTAATTTCGGCAGTTTGATTTTCTTTGTTAACTTTTATTATCTGTCCCAGGTAGATGTATTCGCTTACTGTTTCTAAATTTATGTCGTTCAACGTTATTTCTCTAATGTTCGGTGTATTTGTCATTATTTTTGTTTTTTCCAAGTTTCTCTTAAGACCTACTTTTTCCGAAGCTTGACATAGTTGCTTCATCATGGTCTGTAGCTCTTCTAAACTTGTAGCGAATATTACGATGTCGTCAGCGTATCTCAAATGACTAAGTTTTCTTTCATTAACATTTATTCCTTTATCTACCCAGTTAATGTCTTTGAACAAGTCTTCCAGTCCAAGTGTGAATAGCTTTGGTGAGATAACATCTTCCTTGTGAACTCCTTTGTTGATTGGTATAGCTTTGGTTTTCGCATCTATTTGTATTTTCATTGTAGCTTTCTTATAAATATTATGTATGAGCATTCTGTATCAGGAGTCTATCCTGCAGTTGTTCATAGCTCTCTCTGTTGCCCAAAGTTTTATGGAGTCGAATGCCTTTTCATAATCAACGTTATACTTATTATAAAATGACTACTTTCGTCTGTAGAACGTTAAAGTATTTAGTCAAACAAGAAGAACTGTAATAATTTATCTGCTTGTCTCGATTATTGCCTATTAAGGAAATCCTGAAAACAATATTATACTGGATAAAGCTTTTTCTTGGATCCTTGATTTAAAACAAACATTTAAAACAAGTAAGTCTTTATTTTCTGGAAATTTTACAGAGCCTGTTAGAATACTAAGGTCAAAAAATGATTTTATTTCTTGCAGGTAACATGATACAAATTTCTTAATTTCTGTTTGCAAAGCCTACATATTCGTGTATTGAACGAAATTTTCAAATAAACTTTCGGGGAAATATCTCAGAAAATATGGTACTGGATATGGTTACTCAGAACAGTTTTCATTTGACACCAGGGTTATTGTATTAGGTAATTGTCGTGTTACATATTAAACATTCTGGAACCATTTTACACATTTTTTTTGGAGTGATTAAGTTATCATCGTTACCATCGTTTTCGCCCTGCTCATCATCATCCTCATTTTCTTCCTTATTATCCTCTTCCTCATCTTCCCCTTCGTTTTGATTTTCGGAGACATCATCTATCATATGACCAATTCTCTGTCTTACTTGTATTCGCAGTTACTGTCATCATTAATACATCCTTCTATGTAGGACAGTTTTTCTAGCTCTTCTAGCAGTTCCTTCTCCGATAAATATTTTATTGGAGGCATTTTACTCTGAAAATACCCATCGAATTGGAGGTACACTTCTATATTTGAAAAACGTCAAATTTTAATAAAAAAATTCACAATTAGTAAGAAGTAACACTACTTTTAACATTACACTGAAATATAAACCGCGATTGGCTTTTATTCAAAGTGATATTCGAAGAAACAAGTACACTTACCTCTTATGAACAATGTAATTGTCGCCATATTGCTTTTGACATTAATTTTCTTTTAGAATAAAACCATCCATGCACCATCTGGGTATAAACGCAGAAGTATAATACTTATGAATGTAAATTTCGTTAAACTGGTTTAGGTAACATATTCCTGTAGAATTATGTATGTATTCAAATTAATGGGTGCAATTATATCTAACATGACTGAAAGGGTTAATATTCTTGTGTTATGACCGGCTTATTATCACATAAAATTATTTTTTGGTCGTGTCCCAATTTCAAAACCTATTGGAGTGCGTTTCAAGTTCACGTTTATTATAGCAGAAAAAGTGGATAGTGAAAAAAATTGGTTCTTTTTTTCCACTGAAAACAGGGCCGGAAAACAGTAGAACTCCCACTTTTCCTTCTATCTTCCCTTCCATAATAAGCTTTAAGAACTGGTACTTGGAATTTCGAAATATATGACCCAGATAAGCAGCTTTTCTTCTTTTTATTATTGGCAGCCATTCTTGTTCTCTGCCCATTCGATTTAATACTTCGATATTTGTTGTGTGATCTGTCCAGATTTTTAAGTAGTCTTCTAAATACCCACATTTCAAAGGTCTCCAGTAGGTTCATCACATTGGCCTTTATGGTCCAGGTTTCTACACCATATAGCAGTATGGAGTAAATGTAACATTTGACAAAGCGATATCGAAGCGTTAAGTTGAGGCTGCTGTTGCTAGCAAGGTTCTCATATTAGTAAATGCTGTTCTGGCTTGCTCAATCCTGCTACGTATGTCTATGTCAGGATCTAGATCTTCAGTTATCCAACTACCAAGATATCTGAACCTGGGGACCTTTTGAATGTTCTTATTGTTTACTCTTATATTTAATTGCATATTTCGTGTTCTACCAACCACCATTACCTTCGTCTTGTCTATATTAATCTTCAAGCTCAGTAGTTCTCCTTCAGTGTTTATTCCATCTATTAGTCGTTGTAACGCTTCTTGGCTATCAGCTATTATGACTGTATCATCAGCATAGCGAAGATTACTAATAGTCTGTCCGTTGATTTTGATTCCATCTTCAGTGTCACTTTAGGCTCTATCGAAAATCGTTTCAGAGTAATAATTAAAAAGGAGGGGTGACAGAACACAATCCTGTCATACATCTTTTTCTATTGAGAAATATTATGTAGATTCCAGTCCTACTCTCACAGATGCCACTTGATTCATATAAAGGTTCTTTATGATTTTAATGTCATTCTCATCTATCTATATTAAATAAGCATTCGACAATTAATCAGGTGCATAGAATAACTGCTATAATTGAAAGATCATTAGAGAAAAGAAAAGTCTGTTCTGCAACCTTCCTAGATGTGGCACAGGCGTTTGATAAAGTCTGGCATAAAGGTTTGATACATAAACTTAAATCATTCATGCCTAAACAATATTCAAATATATTACAATCATATCTAGCGAACAGACATTTTAGAGACAAAAAGATGCATACACTGATCTCAAGGATATTGAAGCAGGTGTACCACAAGGGAGTGTATTGGGTCCAGTCTTATACCCTTATATATACACGTGTGATATACCTGAACTAGAAGACGACACCATAGCTACCTTCGCAGATGACACTGCTGTCTTAGCATTAGGTGACACCGTCGAAGACGTTACGGAAAAACTACAAAATTCAATAAATAAAATCCATGAATGGACCAAAAAATGGAAAATTAAGCTGAATGAGAATAAATCAGTCCAAATAAATTTTACCAATAAGAGAATTAATACTCCAATTAGAATAAATGATGTCCAAGTGCCTATTGCAACATCAGCAAAGTACTTAGGGATCACTCTTGATGCGAAGATTCGCTGGAAAGCTCACGTGAAGGAAAAAAGAGAAGAACTAGGCATCCGCTACAAGAAAATGTATTGGTTGATGGCAAGGCATTCCTCTCTATCCATAAATAATAAACTCCTAATCTATAAACAAATACTGAGGCCAGTATGGACCTATGGCTGCCAACTCTGGGACTGTGCCAAGCCTAGTAACATCAAAGTAATCCAGGTATTATAATTCAGGTATTCCAGAATAAAGTGCTGAGGAACATCGTAGATACGCCTTGGTAGGTTAGGAACAACGATCTCCACCGATACCTCAAGATGGAAGACGTCAATCAGATAATCAAGAAATTTGCAGGGTGCCATGAACAACGACTCTATCATCATATAAACGTCGAGGCTATCCAGCTCCTCGACAATACGAACCTAGAGAGAAAGCTCAAAAGGACAAAGCCTTTTAAACTGGTATAGTGAGTGATTTAAGTTAGAAACAAATTTATTTTTGCTGATCTCTGCATTTCTGAAGTAGGACAGTTAAGCTATAAAGTGCTTCTCCTATGCCAAATCCTCGTCAGAAACCGAACTGTGTGGGGCTAGTGTATCTTTCACATCTGTTGTATGAATGATGTGTGAATTATCTTTAAGAAGAGTTTTAGGACCTGGCTCAATAAGCTGATCATTCGGAATTGGTCGCAACTATTATTGTTTGGCTTTTTTGGGATTGTAATAAAGGTTGATTAAAGCCAGTCCTGTGGTATTTGACCGGACCTATATTAGTGTCATTAAAAAGATCTACTAAGGCGTCTATATTGTCTTCACTCAACATTTTTAGAACCTCTATGTTGTTGCTCTATGTATATGTCGTCTGGACCTGGTGCTTTTCCCCACTTGATCTGTTTGATTGCCCTTATAACTTCTGACTTCAATATTTTGGGGGAGGGTTTACTTTTATATTCACTTTCAGAGTTTCTTCTAGTGTTGTCTGAGTATAGTTGCTGGGTGCAGTTTCTTCAATGTTGAAGTAGATCTTTGGGATTATTAATTAATTTATTGTCCTTCAGAATACTGTTAAAACTGCAAGGTTTTGTACTAGCTGTCACTTCTTTAACGAGTTTATGTATGTTAAAGGGGTAATGTTTTTCTTCCAATTCCTCCTTTTCTGCACACCTGTCTATCAGCTACTGTTCTTTAGATTTTGCGACACTTTTTTCGTATTTGTCGGTTAATCTGCTGATTTTTGGTTCGGTCTTTATTTTTAAATGATCTGCGGTCGTCCATCATTGATAATATTTAGTCAGTCATCCAATTCTTCTTTTTGTACTTTTGAGAAGCGATCAGAGACTTGGTGGTGGTTACTATAGCTTTTTTAATACAATTCCATTTGTCTTCTATACTGGCAGATCTTGCCGTGATATTCGCTATTGCCTCACTTAATTTTCCGTGACTTTTAGTTTAACGTTAGGTTGTTTAAGCTGTTTATATCAATTTTCTTTATGGATTTTTTTTTTATTTTTTTAAGCATAATTTTCAATTTTTATACTACGGGATTATGATCAGATCCGATATCTGTTCCAGGGTACGTTTTTACTGCTTACAATCTCACAATTGTAATAAAAAATTATTCCATTTTTTTAGTTAGATATCAGAGTCACTATAAAAAATAAAAAAAAACGACTGTTCCAGTTTATAAATTAAACCCATGTACCCTGTGAATGAAAATGTAAGTAGTTTAAAAACAGCGGATAGTAAATTAAGTAGGTACTGCGCATTCAGTTCAGCTGATATGATTCGTCTTCGCTTGTACAGAAAGGCTTTTGTCTTGTTTGTCAGAAAACTTGTCAGTTTTCAAAAATCAGTTTTTGTCTGGACAAGTTTTGAAGTCGAAGTTTTATGCGTTATGTATTTAAAAATTCTAAGAAACTAAAAAAATAGATATTATTTAAACAGTATATTTTTAGATTTTTTTACTCATTGAAATATAAACCAACGGTATAAAAAAATTTGATATATTTTCGAAAAATATTTAAAACTAATATTTACCCTCTGTGCAATCTCTCACCGGGGTTGTAATCGTTGTGAGTTTTTTTGTATTTCTCGTGACCGATTTGACTGTTCCATAATACTTCGTATGGTGTTTTTGGGGGGTTTACAAGTTCTTTCACAGATGTTTCTAAAAAGAATAATGTATTTTAGTAAATTATTACGGCTTCAATACTGTGTTACACATTCAATAACACAATAACACATTGTTACACGCATTCAATAACACAATAACACATTGTTACACGCATTCAATAACACAGGCCGATAATAGTATATTACATAACGAGAGTTGTAAGAAGCTTATTACATGCGAGTAAAAAAGTTGCGCGCGAGCCGCGTAGCGGCGAGCGCAGTAATTTTACAAGCATGTAATAAGCTTACAACTCAAGTTGTGTACTATACTTTTTCTACGATTATTTTCGTTTATAAAAATAAAAATTAAATTACCACTATATTTACACTGACAGATCATATGCTTACACGAGGAATTATGAAGAAAATTAAAGGAAAAGTCAGAAAAATTATTTCTGTATAAGGCTGTAAATACTGGCCGTCAATGAAATCAGTTTTTGTCCAAAATTTTCCAGACCAACGTAACGAATACTCATTAACTAGAGATCTAGTCAATCTTCGTCGAACCTCAGACAAAAATCCTCATCAATTTCATGAATAGGTCATGAGTCTTTTAAATACTATTTCAAATCATATTGAATTGAACACATAACATAAGGAAGTTAAAAGAAATAAAAAAGATCTTTTCCAACAAGCTCTAACCATATTTTTGGCAGGTCTAATAGAACCCCTAGGATCAACAATTCAATCCATGAGACCACCGAATCTCGCTCTTGCTATCCGATATATTCAGAAGAAAAAAATATTAGATATCTCAAAAATCTCATAATTATTCCTTATCATCTTCTAACAAACCATCTGCCACTTCACAAACGACACATACACCCGCCCCTACACGATGGCAGCCTGAGGTACCCAAGCCCCAATGGACACAGCCATTCTTTAGGCCAAATCAAATGCCTTTGCAACAACAGCCATTCAACAATAGTCCAAGAGGGACATTTCAAGATTCCCCCTAGATTCCAACAAAATCAACAAATCATTCAATAGGTATGCACAAAATTCTACAACTAACCAACCCAATTTTCATAAACCAGATCCATCTCAATCATATAAGCCAACACCTATTAACGTATTCACACGCCAAACCGGCAATAGACCCCAATCTCAAAGAAACTTCCGCTTTCAACAAACAGCCAGGCCCCGATTCACGGTAGAAGAGCTCTTTAATATCGAACAACAAGAGCAATTATGACGAGGATATATAGACACATACCCAGATTACTCTTACTATGAATAAAAAATTCAAGAATATGAGGACGAAGATGTAAATTTTCAAAGATTTCAAAAAGAAAATGAAGAAACTTAGTAGAATTGCATTCTTTTGCTGACAAAAGAGAGCTTCCTTACATTAAAATTCAAAATCCCCCTCTTAAACTTCTTATTGATACAAGAGCCACTAAATCTTTCCTTAATCCTGATATAACCAATTAATTCCACAAAAATAATATTAAATATGAACCAGTTGCTACATCACTTTTTCAGAATCATTCAGAAGGTTATTGTGTAGAAATTCCAATTTTTTCTGAATTGAACTCCTTTTCTGAACTTTTCTGAATTAACTTAAAATTTTATATTTTCAAAGTTCACAAGACATTTGATGATCTTAATCTTAAGGCTTCTAAAAGCAAATCTCGATTTTACCCAAGCTACTCTTACTACAGCGCATTCTATTCTTCCTATTAATTACTATGGCACAAATAAAGCCCAATTCTATACAGTCCACCAAGAGCCCTAAACAATAAAATTATACAACTCAAATTTACAGTAAAAGAAACATCAGGTGAAATCGTCATCCCAAGACAAGAAGTCGAAGGTGCAATCCTTAGAGAAACTCTCACCGTCGCATGTAATCAACTTGCCTGGACCGAGCTAGTCAATAACACCGATGAATATATTCAAGTAGCAATAACTGATCCCATCAAAAATCAACCAATAAATCTAAGAGATGTCGATCCTTTCCTAAGAACCGATAATTTTAATACAAAAGAAGAATTTCACCGAAGACGACAGTGCAGGAAGTTTGCATCATGCATATTTCATCATTCAGACAGTCAGTTAACATTTACTAACCAAATAAAACACCATATACGAACAAGAGATAAAGTTCCTGTTTACACCAAGTCAAATTGGTATCCACACATCCATAAGATGATCGATCAAGAAATCATCAAACCGAGTCAATTGCCCTGGTCGTCCCCAATGTGGGTCATTCCAAAGAAACCAGATGCCCCAAGAAAGATTAAATGGCGAATAGTTGTCGACTAGAGAAAGGTGAACGAGAAAACCATCGACGATCTATATCCAATTTCAAACACAACAAACATTCTGGATAAACTAGGACGCTGCCAATATTTTTCCACCCAGTTTTAGCCAGCGGATTCCATCAAATTAAAATGAAGAAAGAAGATATCTAGAAAACTGCATTTAACGTTGAAAATGGCCACTATGAATACCTAAGAATGCCATTAGGACTCAAAAATGCACCCTCAACATTCCAGAGAGTAGGTAATGGAGAATATACTAAAAAGACTTAAAGGCGAAATATATCTAGTATACAGGGACATTTTCAACCTCTCTTTAAGAACGTATGGTAAATCTTAAGATTTTTGAGAAATTAAGAGAAACAAGATTTAAAATACAAGTTGACAAATGTGAATTTCTTAAGAAAAACTAATGCTTATACTAATATAAAAATTACCACTAATACGTTATGCAAGCAATACTATTGTTTCTAAATACTAAAATAATTAACTTAAAACGTCTAAATAGGTTTTTAAAAACTAAATACCGAATACAGAATAGTATCTACTATTCTGTTTCAGCATGCCAGATAAAATTTATTCAAACCGATAACATTCTTATTAAATCTTGTTGTAATTTACCAAAGTGTTGTACAAAATAATTGATATGGCAACCCTGCTAGTATGACGATTCGCTTGAAGCGTTTCGAGGCCGAATGCAATCTATCGATGATAAATACTACCAACGTTTGAGATGGAGCCACCTCTCTAATATACAATTTGATGCCGGCAATTCAAGATATAATTATTGTTTAATGAGATTTTTCATATGTTTAGGAAAAAATATTCAACGTTTTATTGCAAATATTTTTCACTTTTACAGTTTTATATATGTTGTTATTAAAATTTTTTCCGGTTTCTTACCGGTAGCTTTATTATAAGCCGAAACATAATATTTTTTTCCATTGTGACATAACTGTAAATTCAAAAATTTTCAAAAAATTCATCAGTATTTCTTAGGGTTATATCTTTATGTTGTAAGAAAATAAACAAAATTGTATGTCTGGTTTTCCCGCTTTATACTTGGAAAAAAGTAGTTTTTTTGAGTTTTTTTGAAAACGAAAACATGAAGTTTGTTCAAAATTTGTCAAAATACTTCGAGTTGTCACATATACCTTCTCAATTTTTTTCAAATTTTTTGAATTTGTAGTTTGTTTTTTGGGGGGTGCAGATCAACCTTAATAATTTTTAATCTGTCAAAATAACGTCTGTTAATTCGTTTCCATGGTAACTCGACCAACTGACTTACGAGGCTTATGTGATATTACACATTTTTATAAAACTGAAGCGTATTTTTTTTTATTACGTGCTAGTCATTACGTGTCAGTATCTGTTATGATGCATTTACTTAGCATCCAAATAGTAGGTAATATACCATTTACTAGTAAGAGCGTAGAAAAAAGTTTTTTACTAAAAATACCTTATTCTTATGCCCTTTAGAGCGCTGAATTATAAAATATATCCAACTGAGTTTACGACAGATTTTTAAGTATCCCATTTAATTCAATAGCGTCGAACGTCTGATTGAAGTATATACAAATACAGTAGGTACCACAAACATTGCATTTATAGTTCAAACGTTAAATCAACCAAGATCGATCATTTTATAACAACAATTATAATTGTCAGTTGGCCCTTTAGTTTGATGGTTCTGAGTACTTGTAATTTCCTCACTACATATTACCAATAGGTACTTAACTAGAGTCGTATTCACGAGAAGAATTCAGTGCTGTCCGTATGGCAAGCGAGGGTACCGTTTACGTACAACATCGGCACGTACAAAACAGGACCGGGCTGGCCCTCATGTACGATAACATTAAACCGTGCAATCAAACATAATTTACAACTTCAAGACTTTGTCAAATCCCACAAAATTTAATAAACACGTTTTCCTTGAATTTTTTTACTAAATTATTCAGGGTATGGCGAAGAGACGGAATCTACTATACCCTGGCCGCTTAAAACATGGAATACAAGGTCGCATGATCGCTGAATGCTAGCATCGACAGTCGGTCAAAACTAGATCTTCTGAGAAACTGTTTACACCGTCATTATATTATTTATCTATGGTCATTATTAATTTGTGTTTCACTTTCGCTGGTGAATTTTGTTGGCAGTGTTAAAATTGTTTGTAGAGGTCACGCGTACGTATATTAATTTGTATTTGTATTTTTTGTATTCTTGTGAATAAAGATGTTCTATTCTATTCAAACGAATCGCATTCCATCAAATTTATAAAAGAATTTATCTCTTAATTTTATTTAAAGTTTACTCTTGACATATTTATACAAGCAAAAGCCAATAAAATGTTTAAATTAAATGTAAATCAATAACCTGTAAAAAACTGTATAAATATATTATAGCGAGAGTATTAGTTCGTTTTTGTTGAGCGGTGTAAACGTGGGAAAAGTGATAACATAGGGAGAGGATTTAAGAGTGCGTGCCATTCACGTGATCATTCCATCTTTTCAGCGGCTCGACTATAGGGAAACTGTCAGTGATATAAAAAATTCCTTCGGCAAAAATACGTAGATCCGCAGTGGCTACAAATTTAAATTAGTAATTCATATACCTACAGGATGTCCGAACTTGGATTAACGATATAATTTTTTATATATTTTTAAAGCAAACCCTGTATTTTATTTTAATTTTGGAATCTTAAAAAAGTAGTTTAATATTATTTATTGTATATTTTATTAGTCGTATACAAGGTTTGTCGAAAAATGTGATTTTTCGACAAACAGAGTACAAGTATGTTTATTTTTAACGATCTCAAACATTATTACAACTAAAAGATATTTAGATTTAAAAATAATAATTTAACACTATTTATTTAGATAAAAAACTATTTTGTTTAACATTTTGACGCGGTGTAGGAACGTAATGTTTAACTTGATTCCAAACCATCTCTATCAGATGGAGCTCATAGTGATAGGGAGGCAATCATAATACTTCTACATCGTATTTCTCAGCCAAAGTTTCGATGTCATACTTTTCGTATATATCTGCATAACTGTTTGCTACATCCAATAGTTGTGATATTTCCGGTATTTGTGTATCATTATAATCTGGTTCGGATTTGAAAGGTGTCCAAACATCCATTTACGTAAATATGACAAACAGATATGTAAGAAGTTTTCTATTCGTCAAATATTATGAGGACGTCTAAATATTTTCTGGAATGGCCATCAGGGCAAATAAGTGAATGATAGTGCAAAAATGCAAGTGTTCCTTGTATAATGGAGTATTTCAAGTTCGAATGCAAATAATATATCTACCCACTATCGTTTTACTTGCATCTGAAGCCGGCTCTGCCGTGGCAACGTCGACGATGAACTGGCAAGCGCAGAGTTTTCTTCCATTGGATTTACATTGTCCGTAAGAGCCAACGCTGAAATCTTCTCGTGAATCCGACTATATAGAAATATTATAGAAATCAGATGATGGGGATGCCACCTTGTGGTCTTCCCGTCGCATTTCAGCAAATATTTATTAAAATACACTGATGACATATTTAAAAATTATACAAATCGCCCGGTATATGTATTTATACTTTTACCTTTAATTGTAGGTTTTCCATATGTTACCTCCGTAGGAATTGTTCCTTTAGGCAACCCCGGAACTGAATCCCTTGACTTTCCAATTTCTTTATTCCAGAAAGAGTCATAAGTGGTCTCTTGCAAGTCCCGTAAAAGTGTCTGATATCTTGTTTCCACTGGCGGATTTAGTAAATGTGTAATCTAAAATAATCAATATAATAACAAAACAAAATCCTATTACACAAAATAGTATAGTTCTTTTCCTGATGAAATTCTTTATAGGTCGCGGATAACTCACATATTATTTTTAAAGAGATAATAATTTACCAACTTCTCTGTTTTTTCGAATGTAGCTATTTTGAAGAAAGTTTGGAACTTTTAGAGGAGGTTCAAATTTATCTTCATGCCAAATGTTCGCATTATGTTTCAAAGCAGATATTTTATCTTCGATTGTGTATTGACGTAGAGTATTAGCGACATTTTTTGAATCTGTCGTTACCTTTCCAGCCTACAAAATGGAATATAGTGGATTTTATTTCAATATATTTCAAACGGTATAATTACAGGGCAAATTATTGGAGATCTATCCACAAATCTTCCTTTATTTGATCCCATCTATTTGTGTGAAAGAATTTTGAAATTAAACGTTAAAAGTATTCTAAACTGACAGGAACATATGATTTACTGCCAGAAGTGCCAAATTCCCCTATATTATATTCTGCTTAATTGTTTTTAATATGTTGGTTGCCACTTACAGGCGCAGATATATCAACGTATGTACTTATGTACCGAGTCACCAATCAAACGGGCTATTTTAGTCCATCTCTTAAGGGACACGTTAATATTAAAAAGAAATCGGGAGGAAATTTATTTAAATTACAAAAGATACTCAATTTACAGTTTATTACGTCTCAAAAATTTCCATTTCAGATTACCAAAAAACTCACTTAAATTTAAAATCAGATTTCAAATTGAATTTGGAAAGGACGAGACAAGAACTAATACCTAGCAGTTTCTGTCAACCTATGGGTGGAAAGGGTGAAATACTGAATAGCATTAAAGGTTCCTGCTTTTATTGGACAAAAACGTTATGTTCAAAATTGTTTCTTTATTGGAGCTTAATACATATTTATCTGTGAAGAGGTGATTTCACTGTTGCGAGAACAAACACCAATGAAGAAACAATTTTGAACATAAACCGTTATGTTAATATTTCTGTCAAATAAAACCAGGGAACATAGATAAAAGATAACATAATCATAATCCATTCTCTCCAGATTTCTTTTTAATTTTAACGTGTTCCTTAAGAGATGGTCTAGAATATCCCGTTTGATTGGTGACTCGATTTTTATGTCTCAATGAATTTATACGTTGATGTGGAAGTACAAAAATAGTGATGCAAATGGGAATGCTTTAATAAAATGGGCAGAAGACGAACGCCTATACATTTTGTTTGATGCCAAAGATCGACCAACCTTCAGATCTGCGGCATGGAGGCGGGAATACAACTCCGACCTATGCTTCGTCTCGACCGACAACAAAGACTTACCTTTAGGGGCTTCACGAAGAGTTCTAACTGATTTCCCACACAGCCAACATCGACCAGTAATAATAGAAGTAGGGACGCAAATCCCTTTAATTAGTTCTATCCCACGTCCAAGATTGAATTTTAAAAAGGCCAACTGGATTGACTTCTCTGTGGATCTAGATAAATGTCTAGGGTGGATTACACCGAATATCAAAAACTACCACAGATTTGTTGGTGCCGTGCTAAGTGTAGTCAAAAAACACATACGCAAAGAATATGTTCCTGGCTGGTCGGAAAATAGCGAGGAACTATATCAGAGCTTTCTTGAAACTGGCGACCAAGAAATAGCGGATGAACTACTGTACAGCCTAGACGCCGCTAGAAGACAAAAGTGGACCGAAACAGTATAAACTTCCAGAAATCAAGCAGACAGGCATGGTCATTATTAAGAAAATTAGGGAGTGGTGTCCATACGAAACGCCAATAGGCAGCCGTAAAGCCAGATGCCATAGCATCACATATAGTAAAAACATCCAGAGCACCAAAGGATAAAGCACACACTATCTACGTAAAGAGAGAACTTAAAACTTTAAAACATGTAGCCACAGAAACGGAGCATTCCCTCCCCTTCACCAGCGAAGACATATCAGAGGCTCTAAAAGATGTTAAGCCAGCAAAAGCACCAGGATTTGATAATATTCACCCTGAATTCCTACTAAATTGTGGCAAGTATACAAAAGTTTGGTTGGCTCGATTTTTCACAGACATCATGGAAACTGGAAATATCCCACAAGAACTAAAGCGCTCTAAGATAATAGCCATACCAAAGCCAGGCAAACCCGCTGACAACCCAAAAAACTACAGACCAATTGCGCTTCTCTCTGCCATCTACAAACTATTAGAGAGGCTTATATATAATAGAATCAGTACAGAACTGTTCCAGGTGATCCCAGTCGAACAAGCGGGTTTTCGACCAGAACGAAGCTGCGCGGACCAGGTCATGTCACTCACCACCTACATCGAAGCGGGTTTCCAAAGAAGACTTAAAACTTCAGCGGCATTTATTGATCTCTCGGCAGCTTACGATACAGTATGGAGAGAGGGCCTTATATACAAAATTCTCCGTGCAATTCCCTGTAAACAAATAGCACGTTTAATAGATAGCATGCTCAACGACCGAATGTTTCAAGTAGTGATGGGCACAGATATCAGCCCACCAAAGAAACTTAAAAATGGCCTACCACAGGGGTCAGTGCTCTCTCCATTACTATTTAGCTTATATTTAGCAGATATGCCAGAAACACAATCAAGAAAGTTCGGATACGCCGATGACTGGGCCCTCACTACACAATGCAGAACACTAGAAACATCTGAAGAAGTTCTGACGGCAGACTTATATATATTGAGCAAATATTTTCGCAAGTGGCGGCTTCAACCAAATGCATCCAAAACAGAAGTAAGTTGCTTTCACCTGAACAATAAACTTGCTGGAAAGGAACTCAACATACGGTTTGAAAATACCACACTTTCCCACAACAAAACACCGAAGTACCTGGGCGTAACACTAGACAGAACGCTATCATTTAAAGAGCATTTAACAAAAACTGCCCAAAAGTTGAGTACAAGAAATAACATTATACAGAAGCTCTGCGGTACCACCTGGGGAGCATCGGCTTCCACTCTCCGCTCTACTGCTTTAGCCCTTGTTTTCTCGACCGCTGAATATTGTGCCCCAGTTTGGCTACACAGTCCACACGTAAAAAAGGTCGACACTCAGCTGCACAGCACTATGAGGATGATAACTGGTACAATTAAATCAACTCCCACCCAATGGCTTCCAGTATTAAGTCACATTCCACCTTCACATTTACGACGAGTTGACGCACTTACACGTGAATACAAAAAGATCATGAACAATATAAACCTGCCGATCCACCAAGATACCGAGGATGCACGAAATACCCGTCTACGTTCTAGAAAACCACCAATGAAAACGGCAAGAATGATACATGAGGAGTTCAACATCACGAATGCATGGTCCCAAGAATGGAATGCATGGCAAAATAACATGCCCTGTATTACCCACAAGCCACCAGGTTTTGATCTTCCACGTAAAACATGGTCCACTCTAAACAGGATCCGAACCAGACATGGCAGATGTGCATACATGCTACATAAATGGGGAAAGAATCCGTCTCCTCAATGTGACTGTGGGAAGGACCAAACGATCGACCACATTATTGAAGAGTGTCCCTCAAGATCTTATAACGGTAGCCCTGAAGACTTCCTGTTTGCAACTTCAGAGTCAATTGATTATGTTAATACACTTGATGTTTGTTTGTAATTATTTAAAGTTTGTCATATACCTATATTACTAGTGTTTGTAATTTTGTTCTAAATGTGTTGTAATTGCCATACGATAAATAAATAAATAAATAAATAAATAAATAAATAAATAAATATACGTTGATATCTATGCGCCTGTAAGCGGCAACCAACATTTTCCATGCGTATTGCTGATTGTATTTCACGATTTGATAGAACCACCGTAAAGATACATATTTATAAATGATATCCAGATTCCAAATTTGTATATAATCAGTGACACTTTATTGTAAAAAATAATTTTAGGATATAGTATCAATCGGTATATTTTGGCAATACTTAAATATTCACCTCTGTCATGTCAATTATGATATGCATTTCCCATGCAAAAATGAGTTGGTAGTTAGATTTCACCAAATAGTTTGATGACTCAAACTCAAATATTGGCAGCCTTGTTGACGTCGTTTAGTAGAAGTGTCATTTTTGTCTGCTCTCGTTTTCATCTTTTGTGTATAAAATTGGTGCTAACGTAGGTAAACTATATTCGAATAAGCGTTTTTATGTCGCAAGAAAGTGTTTTGTATATTAGTGATACGTGATCTCGTAGAGGGAGTCCAGAAATTCATAATTTATAGGTGAGTTAGCCTTGTTCAATGTTTTTGGTCTTGTCAAAATGCGTCATTGATATTCTACAAAATCTTCTTGGTGGGTCTACAAACTCAATTCCTGGTAGACCTGTTGATTAGAATCAATTACTAACAAAATGCAGACATTTTGTTATAACTGTCAGCTGATTTCTTAAATCTTTGACGCCCTTGAATTCCTGTTTAATCAGTGAGTTTGCAATACGCCCCCCTCTTTGTTGTTTCAATATTTCTTTATATAATTATAATTACATCTCTATACGCTAGTGAAATTAAGGTGAATAACGCAGTTTTCATATTAGCGATATGATCAGTTGTGTTTTTTTGAACAGATATTGAACCCATAATTAATTTTGGATACCAGATAAATGTGTTGTGAACTTTAGATAATATTCAGTTATCTGCTGATTTCAGGTCATAATGAGCTAGCTTTTTATACATAAATTAATTCTACAACATATTTAACGTTTGTCTTCTCTTGTTTCAAGCTATTTATTACAATAGAAAGTACACACACACATACACAGAGCTCTCTAAGTTCTGACATTAAAATGACTGGTTGAAGGTTGTTGTTAATGCTTCAACAAATATTTTGACAAATAATCATTTAGAGATAAGTCTGTAAGTTCAAGTATCTTAATTGTATTTTTCTAATGCAGAAGACAAGGAAATAATAAAAATAATTATTGCTTTTGCTAAATAAGCAGTCATACTCATAATAGTTATATTTATTTATGTACCTAACCTTCCACATGGATTAAACAAAAACAATTAGTTTTTTTTGTAGAAATTCTTATAAATGTCAATTTAATTAAATGTATGTAGTCTCTTATGTTTTAGAAAGTATCACAAGTTTTTTAGCAGTGGTTAAATATTCACTAATGTGTTCTGCTTTCTACCTTACACACATTGTTATTGATATAAGCTTGTTATCTTTGTTGTCTGTGAATTTGTTTGCTTGGTAACTTATAGTTAACTTTAACTACATGAGAATATGCATTACAACATAATCATTCCACAAATAAGTAAATTTTAACTGATATGAAGTGTTTGTTTAAATGGCAATGTTAGTATGCATAAATTCTTATTAAAATATTATAGTGTTGTAGTGTTATTTTTTTTATATTATTTTTCTAAAGGTCTAGGTTTTGACTTTGTTCTTAATCTAGGTAGTTCTTCTTTAATATGAAGTGTTTGTGAAAATGACAATGTCAATATGCCTGAAATCTTATTAAAATCACAGTGTTTTGTTGGTACCTTGTCATATAATAGGATGAAGACTCAGGCAAATGAGATGTATTATTTAGTTTTCTCATATTTATTGTGACTTTCCTTATAAATTCTCGTTCGTAATAGTATTGCCTCTATACATGTACAAACACACTTACTGAATGCAACTCTTGCATAGCGCAACTCCAATTTCTGTTCACCTGTTTCAGTGATACAAAAATGTTAAAAACTATTCATATAATTATGAGTACATATTGAAAAATTCTTCTATATTATAGAATCAAAACACAATTTGAATATAAAAATATTTTATTTCACATATTTTTCTCTTTGAATACATTTGTTACAATTAACCTGCAAAGATTCTAGATTTTTCAAAAAAATTATCTCTATCTGCAATTCACACCTACACCAAGTAGGTGTGGATCAACATATATAGAAAATTTACATATTATACTTTTTTTTAGGTTTATGTAAGGTATGATAGTTGGGCAAAGAGAGATCTGGTGAATCAAGGGGTGTTGAGTAATTTGAACCCTAACTCATGAATTATTTGCCTGGGGGCAACACACAATTTCTACCTTATGCAGAAAATTAATTATTATCAAGTACTCTTTGGCAAACTCAAAAAACAAATAACTTTTCCAGTAGATTTTTAAACACAAACTTTCTTAGGCATTTAGAGTTCTTTGGAGAACCAGTGTCTTCATTCCATCAAGTTTAGCTTTGCTTCTGGGCTCAGTCGTAGAAAGTGAATCAGGTTTGATCAATAATAATATGGCTGAGAGATTGCACCTTTTTCAGATTGAACACAATGCTTTTACCTTTATACGCTTCTAGAGAACATTCAGATGTTTGGGTATCCATTTTCAAAAATTTTTTAATCTCCAAATCCACTTGAACCATTGCAATAACTACTTATGGGGTGGATGAATGAGAAGGTTAGAAACCGACCTTCCCATTATGTCTTTTATAAAGACCAAACTTTTTATATAATTAAAAAAAACTAATTTTATTACCTATATAATTATAGTATTTGTAACCATTGAATGACCCATCAGAAATGGTGGGGGCCAATGGGTAACAATATAACTACCTTTCGAAAGTTGGGAGCCACCTTCAAGGTCTAGTTTTTCACAAACTTCAATAAAACTCACAACTTTCTTTAGCAGCCAATTGCTAGGCCTCATTTAGCTCAATCTCTCATGTGTCAGAATGTTTTATCTAGGACAAATAAACTAAGATATTTACTAATCATATTTATTATACATAAATAAATATAAAACCTGCAAATTTAATATTAAATTAAAATTAAACAAAACAAATATTGTCTTTAGCTTTACATAAAAAGATTTTTGAATGATACTTATGGCATCTGGTGTTGTCTTCAAGTAGCTATACAGAATTGCTGAATGTAGTGTTTAGTTGCTGATGTAGTTGAATCTAGATACTTTCCTGTTTGTATCTTCAGGTGGCCATTGGGTTGTAAATAGCAGCTAGTTATTTTTGCATGGTCAACCATGTGCTGTAAAATTCTTCACCCGAAAAGGTGAACAAAAATTAGGCCAAAAAAAATACTAGAAAAATTAACCTTGTGTTAGCAACATCATATCTTAAAATATTTCTTTGCCATTTGAAGATATAAAATAATTACAATATTATATAGAAAATAGCAAATTGGCAAGGATAAAATGAATATAATTATTATTAAACAATTTAGTTAAATTATATTAAAGTTTCTATGTGCATATAAGACGAATTAATAAGCAAAAGACAATATAAAAACTAATGTAATCCACCTCTACAGAAACCTCTTAAAATTACATGACAACGCAGAGTTGCCAAATGAGAGATACACTTTGTCAACTGAAGTGAGGCATAGAAATTTGTACATTCCATGTCTGCCACATAGAACAGACTATGGAATGACTAGGCAAGAATTATAAATGAACAGTGAAAATGAAAAATAAAGATTAAATATGATATTTAGTTGATTGAAGAATTGAATGAAAAGTGTCACCAGTTAGTGCCACCTATTTTTAGAATAAAATAGTAAAATGAAAGATAAAGTTAATAAATGAATGAAATCAAAAGAAAATTTGAATTAAATAATTATTTAAAGAAAAATAATAAACATGTGACATTTAATGTTACATATTAAAGTAGGGTTTAATTAATTTAGGCTCCTGATATTCTTTTTAACTATAGATTGTAACCACATATAAATATGAAGTTTATAAATGTTTTAATACATTTTTATGAGAAAATAAAAATTGCTTGTCTTCAGGTTGGTAAGAATCTCTTCTTCTATTTCATGTCCCTCATTTGTAGTTATGTCTCCTCAAATAACTTTAAGCAAACCAGTTAGGTTTCTGTGGAGTTTTCATCTTTTCCTTTATAAAGTACTTGTACTGCTCTTTCAACTGACATTAATATTTTCACAGTTCGCAGTACTTTGTCAGCAGTTTTATGAATAGCCTTTTTGTTCAATCCAATGAATTAATGAAATCAGTAATCTGTTATGGTGAGGGTAACTGAGAATATAAATTTCCTAATTAAATAACACAGTAGAATCTCCAAGAGGAACATCAAGGGAGACACTAAAAACTTCGTAAAAACCTATGAAGCATTTCAACTTGGGCAGATTTTGATTCCACATAAAGAGGTTGAAATTCGTTTTTATTAATTTTGAGTTACAGAGGTGAAATAAATAAAAATTCAAGTTCAGAGGTAGCAAACATATTTTTATTTGGTATAAATCAGCATTAAAATATCCTTAAAATAAATAAATACAGCATTAAAAAAGTCAGTAATTTTTTGCTAAAATAATTCAGTTGTTCTCTATCTATAGTAATTTCTAAAGTATAAAGAAAAGAAAATTCTTGTTCATCAGAGTTGCTGGTTTGCAATGTAAAATATTGTAAAGTATTCAATGCTATTCTTGCCTAGGAATAATTGTTTTTCTTTTACACAACTCATTTTAATTTCACACAAGTATATGAAGTGAACAATGTAAACTACAAACATAAGATAAGCATACAACTAGAAGGTTATAATTGAGTAAATCTCACGTTTATGGTTTCACATTCATTTCTCTTGTCATCATCATTAGTTACTAAGTACATTTTAACTATTTTTTAATTACTAAAAACTACCTTTTAAAAGAACACACTATTTTTATTATTTTTCTTGTTTATTTTTCAACATACATCTTGATAAGATGCTTATTCAACTTTTTTAAGCCTTCGTCTCGGGCTAATCATCCTAATAATGTGAAGTTTCGACAATTACTTATCGTTTTCTGGAAAGCAGTATCTTCCAACGCTTTTTTTTAAGGTACCAGAAATTCGTCACATGTCAAATCTGATGAATATGGTGGATGATTGATTTTTTATCCAGTGTAATTTTTCCTGTGAAGTGGCCTCCTTATGAGCGGATGCATTGTGTTGATAACATTTTTTTTTTCTTAACTAGACATTTTTAACTCAAATCAGAGCCAAACCGTATGTTACGATCAATACGAGTACGATAAAGCTGCATAATACACGCCTTTTATTGCAGTATCTGTTTTCCAAGTAATCAATATGAATATCTTTCCTGTTCCAAAGAACATACATCTTACTGGTCGATCAAGTGGTCTTGACTTTCTAAAGATAAGAACCCTGTTATATATACGAGTGCTAATGAAGTCGCGTTAGCAGCGCCGCGTTATCGTCGTCCCAACCGGACAATGGCACTACCATACTAGGTTTACTCAAGCT